ATATTAAAGTATATGTGTCTTTGCACACGTATAATCTGTGTACAATGGGTATATGTAACACATATACTTACAAATGTGTGAACACACACATATACATATATGACAGAAGCTGATTTATATGAGGACATGTAGGCAGGCATACATGTCCATGGAAATGTAGTCAAGGGTCTACAGAATTGCAAATGGGTGAATCCAGATATGCTTATATATATATATATATGCATAAATTCATAACACATATGTATTATGTTTGAATGTATGTATTTGTTAATCTATATTCCTAAATCTAGACCATGAGCCTATGTTTTAAGTATATATCCTTATAATCACTACTCAGCTTTGTGACCTTGATTAAGTTCCTGGGCCTGAGTCTTGATTTTTCTAAATTATACAATAGAATAACTGCAGCTTCATGAGGAGTTTGTGAAGATTAAATGATATGGTGACAGTAAATGTTAATCAGTATTAGCTCTTCTTATCTGTATACACATGTATATTGACTATACTTGTGTATATTTACATGGTTGTAAATCAACAAAGGTATACGTTAAAATATTAACTCTAGTTATCTTTGGCTGATAGAGTTTTGTTTTGGTTGGTTTGGGGATGTTTTGTTTTTGCTGTTTTGCTTATAAATACTTTATCATTTTCCTAGTAATATTTCTTATTCAAAATAATGATTTAAAAGGAATAAAATAAAGATGGCTGTTCCCCATATACCTCAATTCTGGATATTTAAAGCTATTAGATAGTTTACAAAGTATAACAAATTTGACAATTCACCAAATTTTTTGTGTTCTAGCAGTATGTGAGCATTACCTAATAGCTCAAGAAGATGGCAGTACAAAGGAAAACCACAGCTTTGCTTGTTTGCCTTACCTAAATCACGATGAAAAGAACAATCGGAAGACACTGTGGGGTTTGTACAACATATCCACCTTGGTGATGGTGAAGTGATACCTGTTATGCCCATTTTATTAAGCAAGTGAGGAACCCAGGGCCTTCTCCAAGGTCATAACAACAACAAAAAAAAAAATTAAAAAAAAAAACTATATATGTAATCCCAAACTGTGAAGAGAGCTAAGGACTCGCCTAGCACTGCCATAATCTGGGCGTATTTATGAAAAACCAAAAAGCGAAATTCATAAGCAGTCATCTCCGGAGTGTGAGCTGAAAGAAGAAGGAAATTACAACACACAGGCTGTTGACGGCAAAACAAACCAGCAACGGGCGCAAACAATATGCTTTTTTTCTCCACATGCTTTGATCATACTGTTATTTCTAAAACATAAAATTGTACATCACCTAAGATCTTGATTCCATAAAAAAGCACGACATAATATGCAAATACCGCAATTCTGCAAGCAGATACTTAAGGTCGCAATCAGCATCAGTTACTACCTGGCTCAATTCCCACAAGTACGAAGGATTAAATTCCTCTTAAAAACCCTGCTGCAGGTCCCTCGAAATTTCCGGGGGGGGGGGGGACTGGCTATAGCCAGTAGCAAGAAAAACAAGTAGCTGTTTCCCCTGAGGCCTCAATTTACAAATCGTACCCAAGATAATACTCCAATCAACCCCTATACATTTCCTCCCCAGCTATGCTATTAAATTTCTTTAAAAAGTCATCTGCTGGCGTTTAAAGCACACATGCACGCGCCCTGCAGCCTTCCCTGTAGCTCGACATTTTGAGTCATCACCAGAGTTAATATCGCCTTTCCAAATAACAGCTAACGGCAGACTTGTCTTTTGCTTCATTTATTACGTGTGATTTAAATCGCAGGCGAAGGGGATGAGTACGGACAAACAGATCAGATTCAGAAACCCTGAGTAATCACATCTCGCTGCGGGAGCTGTCGACAGCAGAAACCGAAATTTGCATCTCTCTCCCCCAGTTTCCATTTCCTTTCTTTCCCCCTCCCCTTTCCAACGACATCGGACTACGGGGTGGGGGGTGAGGGGGAGAATGCTGCCAGGTGGAAGCCTCAAGGGTGGCAGGCCAGCCTCACAATCCCGCCCGTCCTGGGAAATGCGGAAAGCCAGGTTGGACGGAGTTCCTTCCACCCTCAGGTCCCGCCTGGAGTCGCGGACAGACAGGCTGGGCCGCGGCGGCGTCAGCTGTGAGCCCAGGACCGACCGGCCAGCCCAGGCCCAGCGCGGCCTGCCAAGCCCCGACGTCGCGTTGGCCGCAGGCCGGGCTGGCTCGGCTTGAGGTGGCCGGCGGCTCCGGAGGGCGGGAACAGGGCCCGGGGCGGGACCCGTGCTCAGCTCACCTGCTGGTACCGGCTGCCGCAGGCCGGCTCTACCGCCGCCAGCGCCGCCGCCGCCAACGCCATGGCGCAGCCGGCCGCAGGGAAGAAAGGCGAACGAGCAAGAGTGATAGCGCGAAGCGGGCGCTGTGGCTTGAGGGCCGGAGGCCAGAGGGGATGCGCCTCAGGGGTTCTCGATGGCCGCCGCGCGCCGGGGCCAGACGCTCTTCTCCGCCTACGAACGCCGCCTCTACCCCTGCTGCTGTTGCTGCCGCCGCCGCCGAGGCTCGGACACGGCCCCACGGGAGGAGGCGGGGACCACGACGACGACGACGCCGCCGCTGCGCCGCCGCCCCGCCCCCGACTCCCGCCCCGCGCCACCGCCCTCGCGCCGCCTGGCCCGGCCTCGCCCAGCGCGGGGTCGGTCCGCCGCCCCAATCTGCGCCTTGGCGTTCACAGTGTTGGATTAGATTCCACTGAAAACAAGTTACTAACAGACCACTCCCTTCATGGGGCAATACTGATAATGAGCCTGTCTTGTCAGGCCCTACGTTGGACTTCGCTTTCATTTGCTCATCAACTGCATTGACAGCCTAGTTTTAGAGGAAGTTCTTGGTGCCCAAAAAGGTTGACAATCTGATTTCGGGGCCTCAGGACCTCTGCTTTTATCTATCATGCTCATAAAGGGCAGCCAACAGTGCAGGAAAGCCTGCAGTGTGCAATCATGACCAGGAAAAGTATATGACACTCAAATTTCAGTTTGTGGGTGTGCACCTTAGAGTGAGAACTGACCCATACTTGACCCTCAGAGGCAATTAATCACTCGGGAAGAGACTTCCCATCCTTTTCCTGCCGAGCAGCTGGTGGCCTCGAACCATACAACTTCAAGATTACAGCGCAATTTCTTGCCACTAGGCCACCAAAACTTTACCAAATTTCAGTTTAATTATACATAATTTTATTGGAACACAACCACTTCCGTTTATATGGCCCGAAAATCCTAAAATATTTACTATCTGGCCCTTTCCAGACACATTTGCTGACATTAGGGCCTAAAGGGAGTTCTGGCGGTATAATGGTGAGGAATTAGGCTACCAATTCAAAGAGTCGTGGTTCAAATCCACCAAATGCTCAATGATAGAAAGAAGGAAAAAAAAAAATCTCCAATGTGAATTGTTTTGTGCTGTCACATCAGGACGACTCCTAACTGACCCTCCTCTCTGAAGACTGGCTAGAAGGTCAGCTAGGAGTCTGTTCTGACAACAACAACAAAAAAATCCTGGAGACCTCTGAGGGCTTTTAAATCTCAAAGATTCCTTTTACAGCTATGTAAAAAATAGCATTCTCCTGTTTATGCATAAGACTGGAGTCTGTGAATCCAAGGCCATGCTTTGTGAATCAAAAGCTGAGGAAGTGGCATGTAAACCCAAACTTAAGAGAGTAAGCCATTACAGTTTACAGAATGCAGTAATATATGCAAAAGTGGTGAGGGAGAAAACATGCTTAGAGAAAGACTGAAGGAGCTCAGCACAGCTGGCATAAAAAAGACTCACTTTTTTCACAGATGAGGAAATTATGCCTGGAGAGGTTAAACATTTTACCTAAGCTTGCGCATTTAAGCCCTTTAAACCAGCTTGCTAAATCATTACTAAGAAACTAAGTTGTAAAATTGTAAAGATAAGAATATTTGTCATTTATTCCTTCTGATATCACAGCTATGTATACTACAGCGAGCATTTATGGTCTGTTGCTGTTATCATACCCAGACATCTGGAATTGCTTCTACCTGCAAATCCAATGAAGAAAAAAAAATTTGATCTTAGAAGATTACTGGATTTCTGGTTTCTCCTTGATTGCCTTTCCATGTTACTTGTCTCCTGTTGGTATTAATGTGATAGTTGTTTTAACTTCTCATGTGCAAATTTAATTAACTACACACTTTAAATCCACCCTGAGGTTTTGCATATAGAAGCAAATTATAATCAGTACAAATGCTAGATATTAATTTTCCCTCATCTTGAATTCTCTCTCAATATCCAGATTCCTACATATGTGTTCCTGCTTTCAAGTGGCTAACCTTACACATTCAAGTTAGGACAGTGAACAATCCCAGCAATGTGCCAAGTTGAGAGGCCTCCAAGTGGAACATTTAAGTCTCATAAGACAAGAGAAGGGAATAAAAGGTATCCAAATAGGCAACGAGGAGGTAAAATTATCCCTCTATGCTGATGACATGATAGTATACTTA